TCCTTTCATCTCCTTTTCCTTTCCTTTCATCTCCTTTCCTTTCCTTTTGATTCCTTTCCTTTCCTTTCCTTTCCTTTCCTTTCCTTTCCTTTCCTCTCCTTTCCTTTCCTTTATTACCTCTGACAGACCCTCACACTGGACGTGGGCCTGGATCCACTCCAGCCGGTCTGAGTTTTCCTTCTCCCGGACTCCCTCGTTCACCTGAAACCAGAACCGGTCCCCATTAGACTCATCACCACCCAGAACAGTATTATTATTATTATTATTATTATTATTTAAAATGGCGGCTGGAGGCCGACCTGTGAGCAGAGCTCCTCGGCCTTCTCCAGAGCGGCTTTCAGGTGGCTGTGGTCCGGGTGGGACTCGGGGGTGTTCTCCAGGATCTGTGCAACAGAAAAATAAATAAATCCGGGGATCGGTTGGAGGCGCGGGGGGGGGCGGGTCCTGCGTTTTTTTTTTTTTCAATAATTTGTTTTTATTGAACTTTTTTGCAAAGCAGGAAAAAAATCAAATATTAAACACTACATACATAAGAGAAGGATATACACATATATAAGAAAGAATAAATAAATAAATAAATAATATAAACAAATATAAAAAAAATAAATAAATAAATAAATAAATAAATAAAATAAAATAAAATAAAATAAATAAAGTGAGCCCAAAAGCAAAAACAAACAAACATAACACTACAAATTGTCCTCTTGTTGCCAAGCTAAATCTAATAAACCCAGTCTCATTCTCTGAGCTGCAGACGCATCCAAATAGTCCAAAAAACAGAGTCCCATGTCCGGTAAAAAAGAAATGGTTTGTCTTTCAACGGCGTAGAAAAAAGGGGACCTACGTTTTTGATGATGAGGGGGTAGCGGGTGACCCTCTGCATGGGTTTGAGCAGGAAGCTGGACAGAGGCATGCCCTTACAGCGGGGGTCCATGGCCAACCTCTGGCAGAAAGAAGGAGAAAAGGGGGTTTATCAGCAGCTTTTCTTTCTTTCTTTCTTTCTTTTCTTTTCTTTCTTTCTAAAAAACAGCCGAGCCTCCTTGCTACAATATATGGATCCATAAGGTCTGGGAAATATACTGAATGGAACATATAAATATTCTCTTAGACTACAAATACCCATATTCAATAAACGTTGGAGACCTGTCGTTCCACTAATTATGCAATAAGGTTTATTTTGTTTTGTTTTTTCTCACACTCTTGAAATCACCCTGTGATTGTGTTTTTTTTTTTTTTTTAAAAATGTAAAAATACACATCTACATTCTTACCACATTGTAACATTTCTGAAAAAATAATAATAAAAAAAATTGTTTAAAAAAAACAAAAAAAACAGCCAATAATTTTAAACTTTTTCAACCAATCTTTGAATTCAACCAGTGGCAGACCGAGCCTTTCACATTTAGGCCTTCAGTGGTGATCGGTCTGAATCAAATCACCCCTCAATAACTATTTAATGGTTGTAAAAATCATCTTATCATGTAGAAATACAGTATAAATATCAGGGATGCACAAGTCTTCTACTATTGACAATAATATCCTCATAAACTCACTATATAATTTAGGAAAAAAGCAACATTGCGATTATTTGTAGACAAAACGATCATCCTCTCTTTCCTCAAAAAGACTTCCATTACTCTGTCATACAGATTATCCGTGCACTTTTTTGTTGATTTGATTGGTTAAAGCAACGGTTTAAT